CAATGCGTCATAGAGGGTTGAACTGAATGCCTTTCGTAGGGAAAAGCCCTTTCCAGTTGGCCCTGGATCCCACCATGACCCTTGATCTCACACGCCTGGCATTTCGCCCGTTTTTATTGTGTGTCTGGCTCCTGAAGACATTTGGATTTACACCAGGTGCAAGTTCACATCTTCAGATGGAGATGAGGGGTCAGCCAGCTTCCTATAAAGGACCTGACAGTAAATATTCTCTGCTCTGTGAGCCACACGATCTCTGTCCCAACTCCTCAACCCTGCGTTGTCGTGGAGACGCAGCTGTGGATGATACACACATGAGCCTGGCTGGGTCCCAGTTCCGCTTTGTATGTGGATGTGAACTGCATATAACTCCCTCCTGTCACACAATATTATTCTTTTGATTTGGTAAAAAGCAAATCTAAGAACGGTGTTTAGACCATTCTTAGCTGGTGGACTTGACAAAACCACATGGCCCGTCACTTTGGGCCTGCGGGCCACAGTTTGCAGCCCCTGATGAAGAGCGTGGTTCAGAAGCTTCTAGTGCTTTTCCACAGGATCCAAGAAGAACCACAGTGATCCCAGAGCTTTTACACCAGCAGCTCACTTCCAAGAAGATGCTTTTTTAAATGCTTGGAAACTGTAAACTTGAATTATACGAGTTACAGGAGTCGAACAAAGGCTGCTGCTGACTGGTTTGCGCTGGGCTCTGTGGGTGGCCCTCTCTTCTCTCGGGAACACTCAGGGATAAGGACGCCAGGCCAGTGGCCGCATCTGGGTTGGAAGCAGGGAGAGCTATCACAGGAAGACAGCTGTGAGGGGCAGTGAATAGACTGTAGCCAGAAGGTCCATGGAAAGTGAATTCGATGGGAATGGACCCTGATCACGGTTGAAATGTACGTAACTTGTGAGCATCTGTACTTAGTAGGTCTCCTGTGCACGCGGCTGACTCGGGCTTCCTGACAGTTTTCCCCTTGCTGTCACTTCCACAACACCACCCTCCTACAGAGGGTGCGCCCTATTTCTTTCATGATCCTAGCGCACGGCGGGGTGGGCTTCTGGTCCATTTTTCTCCACATAGAGACAGAGCCATTCCAATGAATTAACCTCCTCTCATGACGCACCTGAAAGAAGCATGTGCCAGTGAGTAAGCTAAACCACCTCACCACGGCTCCGAGAAAACCACGGCTGGTGGGTTTTGTCCTGACACGCATTGAGAACACAGTGCACCTTCCTCTCCTCCAAGCCGTAAAGCAGTGGAGAGAGGGCTCAATAAGGACCGAGCAGAGAGGGTTTTCGGTTGTTTGTTTTGGTTTTCACAACTCATCACTCTCTGAATGCTGATCCTTTATTATATAGATTTTTAACATAACATGTTTAAAAGAACATCTCTCCCATAGACACATCATTGGGCTTAGAGAGGACTTGGCTGCTGTCCAAATCTGGAGTAGCGCAGAGTCTTGCCCAGGGATCCGGAAACTTCTGAGCAGGCTTCGGTCATGTGAGCATCCTGGAGGATGAACACACACACACACACACACACACACACACACACACACACACAGTTGAAGCATTTACTAAATGTTTGGCAGCACAAGTAGCACAACAGTCAGATGTGACATTGTCTTTGCCCTAGGAAGCTCCACCTTGTTGGGTTGTGACAACCTGCATTTCACCTTCTGCCCAGAGTTCTGCTGAACTGGGTAAAAATGCTATTTCATCCAACAAAAGTGGCAGAATGTAGTTTCCAGCTCCATGTGGTTGAGTTTTCCAGAGTTCAGTGTGAAGCTCTCTGCTTTTTTGATTGTTTTGTCCCTACCAGAGCCACTGAGCATCCCCAGGCACCATTAACCCTAGCTCATCCCCGTGGGTAGGCCTCAGCGTTTATTGGTTTGCTGTCGCCTTTTGCTGCTGTGGATTTTCAGCCCGGAGCTCAGTGAGAGCTTATACCTAGACCCCCGTATAGCGAATATGCCTATAGGAGTCCCCTTCTCAGTTTCCCTTTCTTTGGTTTTAGTTACCCACAGGCAATAGCGGTCTGACAGTATTAAGTGGAAAATTCCAGAAATAAAGAATTCATAAGTTGTAAATTGTGTACGTCCTGGGCAGTGTGCTGACTACTCTGCTGTGTGCATCGTTCCATCTTAGACGTGAATCATCCCTTTGTCCAGCATGTCCATACTGTCTACGCGCCACGCCTGCTAGTCACTCAGTGACCATCTCAGTTATCAATAGACTGTCCCAGGGTGGCAGTGATGGCGTTCAAGTTACCCTTATTTACTTTATTTTATTATTATTTTAAAATACGGAACACTTCACGAATTTGCGTGTCATCCTTGCGCAGGGGCCATGCTAATCTTCTCTGTATCGTTCCAATTTTAGTGTATGTGCTGCTGAAGCGAGCACAAGTTACCCTTATTTTAGTTAATGGCCCCAAAGTGCAGGAATAGTGATGCTGGCAATTCAGATATGCTGCAGAGAAGCTGTAAAGTGTATGTATGGGGGGGGGGGGGGTAGAGTATATATAGGTTGTTACTATTCGGACCCCCATGGGCGTCTTGTAACATATCCCTGTAGATAAGAGGAGGGGGGGGGCTATTGAATACAGATTGGTTTTGCCCACTTGGGGTTTCCCACAAGAGCAGGTAGGTTGGAGAGGTTGTGATCACCATTGCTCTGCTCAGAGGACAGCAGATAAAACCTTAGTCATGTAGAGGAGTCACGAGGTGATGGGGGGTTTTGCTTTGTTGTTATTACCATTATTTCTGCATCTCTGGCAAGGTTAGGAGGAGCTGGGGAAAAGAAGGAAAATGTTTGGGCGATTCAGTCACACCACGCTGGACAGCTCCCAGCCTTTGGAGTCTCTGGGTTCCAGCAAGGTGGGGACCAGAGTGAGAAAAGATTCACTCCTCACACCTAAGTGCCTTTGAGTGTTCTGTGTAAACCAGGAGTTGTGTGCCTGAGCCTATGAAACAGCTGCTTTGGGCTGCGCTGGGAAAGGTGTGAAGAGCAGGCTGGCGCTTGGAGCTAGATGAGCCAGCAAGACTCTTATCTTAGAGTCTCTCAGCTCGTTCTGCCTTTCTGCTGTGTGTCCCACAGTCACGGACACAGTCCCTCCCCTGCCATTCTGGGGGGTCAGGAGGCCCCTGATGCTGGCCTGACCATGTCTGGAAGGCAGGGTTTAGCTGCATTTTCAAGGGACACAGACAATGATGTGAATTTGAGGAAAGCAACTAGGATGGGGAGGGATTTGGAGCCACTGTCGAGTGTTACACCTCTGTTTCCTCATCTGTAAAATGGGCCACCTCCGTGGGGTGTCCTGTGGGATTTCAATGAGATAGTTCTCTTAGCTCTGTGCCTGCACTTTTAGGTGTAATGTTGGTTCTTCTTTTATGAGAAATACGGAAGACACTCAGATTGTTTAGTCTAGACAAGGAAAGATTAGAGAGAGATATGTGAGCTGTCTTTGGATATTTAAAGGATTATTATGTGGCAGAGGGAACCAACTTATTTTTAGGTTGAAGAAAATATGACTAAAATATGGCCTTCGCAGGGAGGCAGATTTTGTATCGACGGGTGTGTGTGACGGAGATGCTGGGGAGCAGCAGGCACTCTGCGTACGGCTCCCAGTCACCAGCCTTGCCCTCGGGAGCTCAGGGAGATGCTCCGGGTGGGAGGTCAGTTGGCCTAGACGCCTCCGTTCTCTTCCATCTCTGCGATGCCATGAAATTCAGCAAAGGCCTGAGGTTTTGACTCCTCTGGGAGAACTCATGAAGGCAGCAACCGCGTACCATAAACCAGAACGAGTAATTTCCAAGGCTCTTGGGGACCCATTGGGTACAAAACAGCAAGCTCATTTGCTTAGAGATGATTCTCAGCTATTTCTTCCTGGGACCAGTTTTCTAGGGCTGCCATAACTCAGCACCACAGACTGGGCAGCCTCAACAACAGAAATTTATATCTCACCGTTTGGGGGGCTAGACGTCCGAGATGACGATGTTTGACAGAGGTGGTTTCTTCTGAGGGTTCTCTCTCCCTGGCTTGGAGCTGCCTGACTTCTCCCAATGTCTTTGCATGGTCTTTTTTCTACGTCTGTGTGTGTCCTAATCTCTTCTTTTTAAAAAATGCTTTTATTGAGAGTGGAAGGGAGAGAGAGAATCATTGATGTGAGAGAGAAACTTTGTCAGCTGCCTCCTGCACGCCCCCTACTGGGGACAGCCCGCATGTGCTCTGACCGGGATTGGAACCGGGGACCTTTTGGTGCACAGGCGGATGCCCCACCCACTGAGCCACACAGGCCAGGGCATCTCCTCTTCTTACAAGGACACCAGTCATTGGCGTAGGACCCAGCCTCACGGCCTCATTCAACCTTAACTATTTCTTTCAAGGCCTTATCTCCAAATGCAGCCACCTTCTCAGGAACTGGGGGTGCGGACGTCAACCTCTGAATCGGGGGAGGGTGTGGGGGACCATCATTCATCCCATCAAACCTACATGCAAGGGAGCTGCCCTTTGGGCCATCGGGGCTGTTGATCATCACCAGCCTCCAGAACTTCGGTGACGTGTTCTTGAAACGGCCTCTTTGTCAGCTGCCTCCTGCACGCCCCCTACTGGGGACAGCCCGCATGTGCTCTGACCGGGATTGGAACCGGGGACCTTTTGGTGCACAGGCGGATGCCCCACCCACTGAGCCACACAGGCCAGGGCATCTCCTCTTCTTACAAGGACACCAGTCATTGGCGTAGGACCCAGCCTCACGGCCTCATTCAACCTTAACTATTTCTTTCAAGGCCTTATCTCCAAATGCAGCCACCTTCTCAGGAACTGGGGGTGCGGACGTCAACCTCTGAATCGGGGGAGGGTGTGGGGGACCATCATTCATCCCATCAAACCTACATGCAAGGGAGCTGCCCTTTGGGCCATCGGGGCTGTTGATCATCACCAGCCTCCAGAACTTCGGTGACGTGTTCTTGAAACGGCCTCTTGTCTCGCTTCCCTTCTCTTAGGTGAACGGCCCTTCCCCTGCACGTGGCCAGACTGCCTTAAAAAGTTCTCCCGCTCCGACGAGCTGACCCGCCACTACCGGACCCACACCGGGGAGAAGCAGTTCCGCTGCCCGCTCTGCGAGAAGCGCTTCATGAGGAGCGACCACCTCACCAAGCACGCGCGGCGCCACACCGAGTTCCACCCGAGCATGATCAAGCGGTCCAAAAAGGCCCTGGCCAGCCCCTTGTGAGGTGCGACCCACGGGAGCCAGGGAGGGCCCGGCCCGGAGAGACACAGCTACTCCCCGCACACGGACAGACACGGGAAACCAAGCCCCCGAGAGGCACGCTGCCAGCACAGGAAGCCCTGTTCTTTGGTCAATATTCTGATTTTTCCTCTCCCTGCATTGTTTTTAAAAAGCACATTGTGGCCCAAGGGAACTCTGAACCGCCTCTGACTTTTGGAGGAAAAGCAAATTTTTTGTGTGTGGTTTTTTTTTTTTCTCCTTTATTTT